CACGTATTACTTCACCACTGGAAAATATTCACTCATTATTTATACATTTGAGTCTTAGCGACATATATACCCAGCAAGTATTTTCTTTTTTCATTCTTAACTTAAATCTGGTCGTTTTTACTTCCAAAAGTTGGACAAATCAAGCAAACCACTAATAATTTAGTTTGTCAAAATAGTCTGACTAGCAGTGAATCGTGAAACTATCTAAAAGAGGGCCTTGATCGTCACAAGGGTTTGTTTTAAAGTCAGTTTGACGCTACTGTTCTAAATGGCATTTTTTGAAGCTGCGTTTCATCAATCTAACGAAATTTCCAATTTACCTTCGACGTTCGTCATTGGTCTGAATGATTTGTAGATATCTCTCATTTTAAAGTACTTTTTCATCAATCAGTAAGGAAGGCAAAATGGTGCATTTTTTGCGTTTATGTTAAAAACATTTTCGGTGCATCCGAATTTGGTCGTGAGTTTGACTTGGTTTTAAACAAAAAAGAAATGTGAAGACAAAATTTTGGCTTGGAGTTGCACGGAAAGGCTTCTGGTTAGAAATAATACCTCGTGAAGCCAAATTTGTGGCTTGTCCTACTTCAAAGTCGTTAGACCATTTTTGCCTAACTGGTTTAAATGCATTCTCTCAGTGGCCGATTTATTGCGCAAAATTTGCTGTTATTTTCCACTCCAGAAAGGCTTCAGATTCACCCAACAACCAAATCTTCCAAATGAGTTTGATCAATTCAAATTTGATGTGCTCTAGATGTTTTTTTGTCATTATTTTTTGTTAATTTTTAGGATAAATTCCCAGAAACAGTGCTTTGACTAAATCGAATCTGAATTTTTTATATTTACATTCCTTAATATTCCTGTCCTGTATTTGCTTTGCTTGTGTTGGAAGTGATAAGACTGCATTTTCCGATGTGCCAATGTTTTCATCGCATTAAAAGGTTACTGTCTAAGTGCATCGTTTGTCAAAATACCCTTTAAAACTCCTGTTAGTCGACTATGATCAATCTAGAAAATGGGAAACTAAGAGTCAAATCCTTGTCGAGCTGGGTTTTTTGTGGATTAAAAAAAGAAAAGTGTGTTGGAACGTCAACACACACATTCATGGCGTCAATTTGGGCTGTGTTCCGACTCTTGCAATAGATGCTTTCGCGCATGATTTAGCAACCACGAGGCCCCGGAAGTTGTGATGGGACTAAAAGTTGACCAATCGAATAAAATTTGCCACTTTGCACTACTTTAATATGCATTAAAACTCGAGTAATGGGCTGCGCACACTTCGAAAAAGCAGAAATAGCTGAAGCGTGGGTTCTCCGCCATTTTTCTTCCTGCCTGTCAACAAAATTATGCTCTCTTGGATACAGAAGGTCAAAATTTACATGAGTGTAACAGCGTTATAACCAGCTGGAAACCTGAATCAAACAATAGCCGTGGTGCGACATAGTAAGCAATTTACCCAACTCATCAAATGTGGAGATTTGATTAGTCGAAAAGGCATCGTTATTCACCGTGACCACGCCAAACCACAAATCACCCAACGGACACCCCCAAAATAGGAGATTTAAACGGGTACCCAATCAGTAGGACTTGGCACACTCTCATTGGCTTGCGATTTTAAGTTTTTGGATATTTTATTGTTACGTCTGCCCGTAACAAAGAGAAAACCACTCAAATAAAGGTGCCAAATCCCTTGTTGACGCTAACATCGACCTTCCCACGCTAATGCAAAAACAAGACCGGAACTCGTGTAGAGAGCTTTATTCGCGTCAGCCACGTGCGGAGTGGGTTGTCAAAAGTGAAACTACTTTTAGTCAAGGTCGACCTTGACCTGATAAAAAGCGTAATAAAACACATGTTAGGGAATTAGTGTAGACAGTGCCGGAAACCAACGACGAGCAATCTTGGGGAATAGTAGATCCCCAACATTTATTCTCAGCAGAAGATTTTTAATAACAGAGAGCTGATTTAGTGGGAGAAGACGAAAATCGCGATTTGACGGTCTCTTAAGAGAAACCCCACTATTTTCGCATGAAGAAAAACATGTACAAGATTGAAAGAGAGGTATGGAAATGATGATGTAAATTTTCTTCATCAAAAAATGTTTTCTTAGAAGAGTATTTCATTTGAAATGCGTCCAAAATGGCAACCAGTACTTTCATAAGAAGGTGAAGGATCAGACGCCAATTATCAACGGCCACAATTCACTACTTGTTTGAACACGGTGAAGTTATTGTTTGGTACTCTGTGTGAAGGCTGCTGCTTCACAGATATGATTGAATGCTTTCAATTCTGTGCGTTGATGTAATGCAAACTACATGTACAAATTCTTTTTACAAATGCACAACAACTTGAAACCAAGGCTGAACTGTGAGCTGGAATGTTGCCTGCAATCTAAAAGTCTTTCCAAAATATCACCGTTGTTTGATTTAATCATTCGGTTTATCTGTAGGCATTTCTTTTGCCGTTGCCTTTAAAAATAAGTTACCATAAATTTATAATGAGCTGTTTTGGACGTCGGCGGTAAAAGCAGATTATGTTTGCCTTTAAATGGCATTATAATTCAGCCAAAGAAAAAACCCAACCTCCCTTGGCAAAAGGCTTGTACACATCTGCCATTCAGTGGTGCGAGTTTTCGTCGTTGAAAAACTCTTTGCTTATCCAGTGCACAATCATATCACCATTGGCGTTTGAGCTAGTCTTTTGTGCCAACAACCTCTGACGGTCGCGTACTTGAAAGAACTGTAACATCGTGGATTATCTACAAATGATGTTTTGCCTTGAGCGGGATTTGTACTAGCGGCAGGGTTTGCTCCACACTGAAGCCCTGTGGTGGTGATAAACTGTCCCTAATCCACCCATACCTTTTAACCAATTAACTGCCTTCTACCTTGCTTTCCCTTATTTTGACCCAAATATTCAAATTTAGATGAGAATTTTTGCCGATAAGTTAACTAAAAATGTGTTTTTTTGGCCAAAATTCTAGCTAGCTTCCTAATCTGTTCTTTACAGCAAGTAATTGCGTGATGCAGACACAAAATTCATTAGCTTGCAAGGGTGTTCAACTAAAATATTACCTAGACGATGTTGACATCATGATAAAAACTTAACTTGTTCAAAATATTGCAGATTTGCCTTTTACCGAACACGGTTTAAGTATGTACGCAATGATTTGCAAAAATAGTCTCTTGGCTGAGGTAAATGTGATCCATTAAGAGGCGAGGACTCCTGCCTGAACGAATATTCATAGAAAAAAGCAACGTGAAGCCAACTGAAACCTACAAATAGTAATCGCCATTGCCCGTATAACTGATTCCTTGAAACTGACAATTGTCTACATCGCCCAAAATCGCTAGCACCATCAGTCGGCGAATTTGAGTCAACTGTGGAACTACACACACCTCCTAGATTTTCGAAAACGAAAATACATCCTCTTCTTGACTAAATGTTTCCTTTAACAGTTAAGGCTACTTGTTGACACTCTGCACGACTCCTGTTGCCTCTAATTACTTGAAAGTAAATCTTTTGTTATCCGTACACGCACAAACGTTTTTGTTTTGAACACATAGTTTTTTTCCCCTTTTTCGATTGCCTCCAGCAGTACTTCGCATCATTCAGTGATGGAACAGTGATTGATCCAATTGACATTTAGTTTTATAATAATTTTCCTGAACAAAACGATTTGGAATTCCCGATGTAACAGCATTCACTTTAATTGCAAGAATTAAGCCGACAATTAGTAATAGAATGCTTTCCATTGGTCGCCATTTACTTCTTTTTTTTCAAAACGACTTCACAGATGCTGTAAGTAATGGAGACGTAAAAGTTGTTTGAACAACATTATGAAATAAGGAACCATGCTATCCAGTTCATTTGTTCATTAACCTAAAAACGGAAACAAAGATAACATTTACTTTGAAGCCATGAGAAATGTCTGACCAAATCAACGCTAGCTTCGAGCACAAGAGCTTACGTTGGCAAATTTCTGGTACGAATATTTACGACCCATCCTGAATACATTTCACACACTTATGGCATGTGCCCCATCTTACTTGACAAGGTTAGAAATCATAATCCTGGGGTGAGAAGTTAGGCACAAAATCTGCGTTGATCCAAACGGATGCCAAATTCGACTGATTTTATGGCAAACTTCCAACTACCATCGACGATATTGAACAGATTTAGCAAAACCAGCTTCAAAATGATCTGCATTGACACTCGTACACACTTTTCAGACCGCAATAATGTCAATGCCCACCAGAAGTCGCCTTATTGCAATTTGTTCTTGAAGTACCATCTGGAACACGCAGGTCGTGAAAATGTGCTCTCCTGTATACCTTCAATTCTAGCATGAATTTAAATTCGCTCTCACTGCCACTAACAACAATGGCCCGAGTTGCATTTTAAGCTAAGCGCGCAAGTAGAAATTTGGAGTTGAACGGACGGAAGGCATGTATTGAGTTCATGTGCAACCCCTTGTTACAAAAAAAATCGCTCAAAGTTAATATCAGCAGATTTATTTTTTAAAACTTCCAGCCACTGTCCAAGGGTGGGGAATTTAATAACTCTAATTTGGCTAATTGAAACAACGTTTTAATGGTGGATTTTAATTAATTAAGGGATAGATTCAAGTTTTAAATAATTCATTTGGAATTAGTGAGAATGTGTTTAAAGGACCACTTCGCGCGGCTTCCAAAATAGAATTAACAAATGTTTAAAATTACATTTGGGCACATTTGATTGGTTTATGCAAAAATGCGCAGCGGTCTTCCTAACATTATTTTTTTCAAACACGCATCCACAAATGGCTTTAAATTTGAGGTAACTAATGTCATCCTTGTTCCATTTTTCCGTTTCGCATGTTTTTGGTCCAGGTCTAGCGAAGCAAATTATCCCACCTAAGAATGCCTAACCCATCGAAACTAATTCCATGATTAGTAATTATTCAAATTGAACAATGTAAAACTGTGGCTTAATTTTGCCTCATATAGGCTCGTAAATTTTAGTCAAACTGCTTTAGGTTTTTTTAAATAACGTGGTTCAACGAAGTCCTTTGTTCTAGGGATGACAATCCTACCCAGACGGGAGTAGAAGTTAATTTTCCTCTTGCCTAGCCGCGGATGGAAACGGGCACGTTTGTCCACACTTTCGGCGTCCTCGTCATCATCCATGAGGCTACGGAAGCGCAGGAGTTCCAAGTACTGACGCAAAACCTGCTCCTCCGGCAACTCCTCGACCTCCGACTTTCCAAAAAGCGTCGGTGCTGCGGCTGCGCCTCGTGGAGTGCCGACGACTTGAAGGAGGAGGAAGCTGCATCCCAACATCCAGAGGAAACGTGGAAGCATAGAGCGACGCAGGAACTAAAAAGCACGAAGCGGCTGCAAAGCATGATGGCCACAGGCACTGGGTTATTTGTGCCAGTGACGACATTAGCTGATTCATTTTGGGCTGGTAAGGTTTAAAATTCAGAAGCAGGCTTTTTGAATGAAACCAAAGGTCTGAGATTACGCGTATGTTTTCAAGACACACCAGCTGATTAAGCTACAAAAGGAATATCACTCGATGGTCATGTAAATGTTACCATGGAAAGAACACTTACAGGGTTGGTTTTCAAGCAAATGGAATCTAGTTAAATTGGGATACGATCTTTACATTTAAACGGATGCAACAACGTCGCAGTTACTGACCACGTGCTCATCTTCCTCGAAATTCATTTCATGGCGTGGGCGACTTGGAGTTAAATCCAAGTTAAGTGGAAATGAGAGCAAAACCACTGAAAATGGCGTTGATTTGTGCGATAGAGACTCGTCTGGACATAAAAATATGCTTTGTTAACTGCTTGCTTGCCTAACAACCTAGGCACGAATGAGGCTTTGATTTATAAAAAAATAAGAGCACGCTATAGTGTCTTATGCCATTCCTTACCATGACACGTGTTTTTTTAAAAGTTTGACAGTCGGTATTGGATCAAGCCTCGGACTCCATGCTGAGTCACCCCTGATAATCTCCAATCTTCATCCCGAAATATTCCTGTATGCATAACCAAACCCAACTATTCCTCTATGCTAAAACCTGGTGACTCATGGACTCTGCTGTTCCTATGCACGATCTCTGAGTACGCGAGAGCATCCTTAGCTGAAGACGCCTAGATCCTTCACTCAGCTGAATATGTTGAGTCCCCGTCAACCTCGGGATACTTGATGTCGGCTTTGGGCCACAACATCGGGACTTCAAACAAACGTGCTCTGTCCGTGTGCGTGCAAATAGGTGTCCAAATAATAAATTTGCAAAAATACTCTAATTTATCGAGATGCTCTACCTTGCAGAGGCTAATACCAGTTTGGCCGGAAATCGGAACACATAGAAAAAGTGTTCTTCACACGAACAAACGAATATTCACGTAGGGAACAATGTTGGCCTAATTTACGATTGCATTAAACAGTAACAGTTTGTATTTGTTTAAATGGTTTGTGTCAGATCGCAAATTTGCTCTTAGCCTGTCGGTTTATTCACAAGAGTTCGTTGGTCTGACTCCTCAAACGACCACATCGATACAAAGCCCGTGTGCGCCCAAAGCACTCAATGAGGCCAATTTAAATCAAGCACAAAATTTTACTTACCTTGATGAAAAAGCTAAATGATTTATTAGAGCGAAATGACAGTGTGAATAGTTTGCTAACAACGTCCAACTGACTGTTTCATGTTGCAAGAAATCTTGCAGTCTGCATTGTATTTACTCATCATTTTTACGCGATTTACTTCTGTGATTTGGGTTTTGTTGTTCTAAGTAAATGATGCATTGTTGTTTTAGGATGCATAAATGTAAACAAAGGTTACCATTCCTATCACCTTAAACGGTTTGCATTAATTATTGATTTAAATCGTGTCGTAAACGCCAATCACTGCATTTTCAACATTTGCTATTGGCTCCTAACATTACGCCAGCTGTACAGCCCCTTGTGGTTGGCACTGAAATTGCTTTATTTTTTATTAGTTGATGTAAGAATTTGCTATGTAATTAGAAAAAAAACTAACTAATGATGAGGTTTAGTAAAATTATGCACAATTTTCTTTGCAAAAATACATAGCATTGTGTAAATTAAATGTTTGGTCGCTACCTTCAACATGACATAAATGATATGCCGTTTTTTTACGGTCCTGAGTGGTGAACATAGTCAGAACATATTTGGATATATGAAATGTCAGATTCGATTTCCAGATTTGTCTAACGACTTCCAGTGAACAATCCACCACGCATGCCGCAGCCTGAAGCTTTCGCATCGCTTTCAGCATCTTTGCCACCAGTTGAAAAGGTACATTCACAAAAGATGATTATCAAGGCTACAAAATTGTTCCGGCTTTTCGTAAGAATTAAAAAGAGCTGCTGATTGCTTGACTTGTTTTTGACTGGTCAACTTGGCATTGTACTGAGCCGACGCTTTATAAGGACTGCGCGTAAATTATGGATTAGTTGGCGCATTGTATAAACAAGCTTTGACTAAGGCCGTCGGCCTCAGAATACTTTGACGCTGCATTAAAATGCACTTGTGTTAATGAAGTCCAAATTTATGCAGGACGTTTAAAAAATTTCAAGAATACGTTATGATCTTAATTCAAGAAAACAGTTTAAAAGTCCAAAATCCTATACTCTCTTAACTGTGTTCTGCTATCTTATTGCATAATCTTGTGATATTTTCATGAATACTAACCCTGCTGTGTCTGAAATCACATCACTGCTTTTTTTCTATTTTGAAAATAATCTTTTGTCTTAAATTTTTTTCACCCGGTCGAAGGTAAAGCTTGCCAGTTGTTGCTTCTCATAAAGCATCTGAGGTTTTTTAATTCCGTACAAAATTGCAATGGCATAAATGAAAAATTGAATAATCCTAAGACAAAAACTGTACATTTATCTTAAAATGAAACTTGTATAAGCAAAGGCGTGCATCCAATGAATGTATCTTTAATAAAATCAAATAATTTTGCACTTTAACCGTTGCAATAAGAATACCATTAGATTGAATTATGATTAATGTCTAATTGCTGAGAAGATCGCACAATAATATATGAAAAAAATTATTCCCTTAATTGGTCAATTTCTAATATTTTGAGGGGAAAATCGGTTTGTGTAGATACTACAATGGTATATGATATTTCCTACTTAAAAACGTTATATTTGCTATGCATATTTGGGCAAATGATGTAATAAGCAAAAGGACAAATGCCTACTGCAAAATGTCTTGCATTTTGTCCTATTTGAAAGTAGTATTTATTACCTTTTATCGAAAACAAACCATCGTTCTTCGTATAAAAATGAACTCGAGTAGATTGTTAGGAAAAATTACTCATACCATAAACCGCCTGCAATTACTTACTCTCTGCATGGTTGTAGGTCTTGAAAGCAAAAAACACGCAGATCTGACCTCTTATACACTTTTCAGATAAGGTGAGGGACGCCACGACCTGATTGGTTAAGATTAGCCAATCAGGTGGCCGAGCGGAAGGTTCTTTTAAGTTGCGCCAAATTACACAGTTACTGAGGTGATTTTCACCTCTGAAGGGGAAATCATGAATTTAAACTGGACAAAAATATTAATAATGGCCATTAACAGGATATGAATGCTCAGAGATAAGAGATCATGGCCATGCCTTCGGAACGTGTGCCAAATTACCCCGACACGGATAGCATGGTTGTTTATGCATTCGCTGATTCAAGTTAATGGATGGGAAAAAGTGAATGTTAAAAAACGGCTAAGATTTTTTGTGGAATGTGGGCTTTCAAAATATTTTGAATTCAAAAGACTGAAACACACCTACACGGGAATCAGCGTCAGTTTTTTTCTAGATTCATTTATCTGGCGCCGTTAGAGACTTGGGGCTGTAATAGCGGTGGTTAACTAGACGGGCTAGAAGCTTTGTAAGTTATTTTAAAACTGAGCTAAATGAATCGGACAGAAATAGCTAAAAAACATGTTTAATTTAGTTTGAAAAGTGATTTGGCAACTATTTGAATAGATGGGGCAATTTAAAACAACTCTATGCTACCTGGTGATTTGTAAGTTTGAGGCACGAAGCTACGCAATTTGTTTGCTTAAACTTAGAAATTTAAATAATTCTGACGACGTTAGCTGTTATTGGCTCGGAGATACCAGCAAATCATGTATCATGCGTAAGTTGATCTCGGTAATCACATTTTTGCAAAAGGTGTGTTTCACAGATTCATTTCTTAACGTTGAGTGGTAGGCTATAAAAATACGTCTGAATTCCAGTGTATTGTAGAATTAGACACGCCAGACTGTTCGTAGCCGGAGGTCTGTATTGAAAATATGATGAAAGACCTCCCACCGTTACGGTCGCCATTTTGTTACTGCAAGCTAAAATCCGGTGTATTTGGCTGTAAAAGAGACCCAGATAGACACCTTCTTGCTCAGCTTGATTATTTGGTCTGCAGTTAAAATCTGTTTGCATTGGAGATGGCAGCCAGGGATATATTTGACTGAAAATGCAGTTACGTAACACAAAAATATCCAACCTCCAAGAATGGAAAACAATAAAGGCTCACGCGTATAATAGGAAATTTTACTGATTGGTTTAGGAAATTGTCGAACTGAATGTTGACATATTCATCATCAGCTACGCTTGGTGGGATATTTAAGTAGATACAATCTGCAAATAATCGGAAATACCATCGTCTCTACAAGTTATTAGGGGTGATTTGGTGGTCACTGGGGCAGAACAACTACCGATAATCTATTAATTAATGTAATTACTAAAAAGTAGTGCTTTAAAATGTTCAGTCCCGTAAATATACCGGCTTTGTAATTTTAAAACGAGGGACATATGATTGCTAAGCCTCAGAGCAAGTTATAGTGCTTCTTAGCGAAAATGCAAGCTGTTCTGAATTACTCTATTTGCAGAGAAAATTACGTCCTACATGTACATTTTCTAATACATATTTTTCGACCTAAAGCAAAAGTCTTGGAGCTTGCTTAACTGTGTTGCAAACCTGGACAATATCTGGCAGTACTAGCAATCTTCATCAGCGTAAGCCAACGAAATTTAAAATCAATTAGTATGTCATTGAAAGCAAATTGTTTTTCAATTTATGGCGATAAAAACAAAATTAAGGGTAACCAATGCGGTGAGAATTCGCGCCGTGTAGTCGCCATTCCAAATACCTTAACTTTAAGCGGTGAACTGCAGCTCTGAAGAATCTATTGTAGCAGCTTCGTTAGCGCTACCTCACAACTTGGCTAGTGGACAGTCCGTAACAGCCGGAGAACGAAGGCAAGACTGATTATAGCAAACATTACGCTTTTATTTACATTTGACCACCCGAGTCTTTTGT